AGTTAATAGTGGAGAAAGCTGGCAATAAAGTTTGCTTTTTGAAACTTTGACATATTTTAGTAAGTTCTGATTTACATATGAAGTCATCCTCTGACAATTCCAAACAAATGTCTTTTCAAAGCAAATCCACTTTTTTTGTCTGTATGCCTGTGGCTCAAAAAGGACTGAACAGATTTATCTTGCTTTCTGCCACTCAAAAGAATAGAAAGTTGTAATCTCAATGGAATTTTTAATATCTTGAATAATTTAATAACACTTTAATAATTTAATATTTACCAACTTAATTGTACGTAGTGATATAAACACTACCTACAAATCACTTCCATACTTTCTTGGAAGAATTACTGAAGAAAAACAATGCTCTCACAGAAAGTACAAAAATAAAGCTTGAAGTAATACACTGTTGTGATAAAATCTTTATACTACTTTTCAGACACACTTAAGATCTGGAAGCAGAGTCTAATTCCTGTAAGCATTTTTTTAGTTTCAATCTGACCCTGTATTTAGTTCCAGAAGAGGTCAAAATTCTTAGCATTTATTCCCATGGTAGATGTCCAATTCATATTGAATATACAAATTTTTAAAGATTTCTAGTGATTTCACTTGGCTTGTAAGTAAAAGATCTGCATTTTTAAAGATACATAATGTTTGATGATGAAATTTCGTACTTGCAAGTATTAAATTATGCCAAAAAGCTATTTACTTGATATTCCTTAAATACCGTAGCACAATTCAACTAAAGCAGATTGTAAACTGTCTTAAATAACACTAACGCCATGTGCACATAATGAACAATATAGCTAACTTAATTTCATGTAACAGATAACATCTGGGAAAAATGTATATTGGCGAGTTATATAAAACTAATTTCTACTGACCACATCTGTAGATATTATTTATTGTATGTTCACTTAACAGTCCATTATTCTGTTTAAAAATCTATTCTCTTTTTTATTAGAGCTTTTAATATATTCACCTTGGTTCAAATGGTCTGCTCATTATCAGGAAAAATATAAATGGCATTCACATGGAACAACATGATTATTTTGATTATATCCATTTGTGTGCAAGCATTCAAAAACAGCAAGAGAAACACGCTTATTACTTTACATTCAAAGTAATATTTAGGGGGTATTTGAAAGTCAAGCAAAACCAATCATTTGGCCAAATGGATGTGTGTGTATAATCAGAAACTCCTGATTTTTAATCTCAGCATTAGGCCCTGGGCAAGTCACTTAAATTCCTTTCCTTTGTCTCCTGATCTGAATATTATGGGGTCTATTTTCATATGGAAAAGGGGGGTTGCTAAGTCAGGGTACCAGATAGAAGTGCTTTTTAAATAAACTTACTCCATCTTTTTCTGTTTTTATTTTTCCAGATTTAAGAGGTAACATATTAGACTTTTGAGGAGAAAGCTATGAGACAATTACAATTCTACAGGAATGTATAAAAATAGTTATAAAACTAGCTTTATTTAATTTGCTTCAACTATTCATAGACTTGAGGAAATTATAATGTTCTTTCAGAAAATCTAACTTAATAAAGCTGACCATGTCTCTCTGTTTTAAATAGATTTTATTACAGAACCAGTGATGTTGTAAAACATGAGGTTTTGTTAAAAAAAAAAATACAAAGGCCTAATTGTATTTTTTAAAGAAAGTATTGCATCAGACGGTTTCATTTAAGCATATTTGCCAGGCTCTGTGTTCTCACCACAATTATTGATTCTAATTTTCCTCAAACTTGTATTTTTTTTTAAAAAAGCTACCATTTTTAATGGGGGAAAACTCACTGTGAAACTTCTGAACATTTATGTTTATTTCAAACTATGTATTTGAAACTGTATCTTAATATTAATGAAAACCTTATTTTTATGCTCATCTGAATTGGGACATTTCTTTTCCTTATCATAAGTCAAGAACACAACTAAAAGTAATTCTTCATAAAAGAGAAAAGCGGAGCCATGGTTTGGCTCATTAGTTGTATGTAAAACATGCAAAGAAAAGAAATTCTCACTCCCAGTATTTGTGCACAAATTAAATCAATTCAATAGTTATAAGAACTACACTCATAAAAATCAAGGAAAAGAAAAGCAAAACTCTGAGCCACACTTCAACTTCTTGGAATAAATGGGTGCTCACTCTACCAAAGAAATCACGATGTGGAGCTGGAAAATTCCAGGTCTCCATGTTTCTGCCCAGTAGGCATACACACACACGCACACATCTGCACATATACACACAGAATGCGCACACATGTGCACATACGCCCACCATGTATGCACACATGCATATATGCACATGCACACACACACACATGCACACACACACACATACACACACACATGTAAGAGCACACACACACGGTGTCAAAGACCAGCAAACTGAGTAGTTAGTTGGCAAGTAATTCAGATGAATCGTGTAAAGATATTCAGACCCCAGGGGTGTGAGGTACAGAATGAAAGACTTGAATGAAAATATCTATTTGCATTTAAGTGTATAATTTGATGGGGAAAAGGGCAAAAGAGGGCAGATGGTAAAATCTGCTATTATCAGAATGAAGAAGCTATCCATTAAGAACTTCACCAGGGGGTGAGAGCAGATTAGCAGAAAGGCCCAGTCAGTGTGTAGAAAAGCATAGCAGTAACACAAATTTGGTGACAGTAGACAAGATAAAATTCTGCTTCATTAAAAGAAAACACTCTCACCTTGCTGATCAGCTCATTCTTACCTTCTCAGTACCTCCAGTAAATTCAACAATCTCCAATTCTTTCTTTCTGTTCTTTTCCTTTCTTCCTGCCTTCCTTTTTCTTCCTTTTCTTTCTTTTTTCTTTCCCCTTCCTTCCTTCCCTTCTTTCCTTCCTTTCTTTCCCTCCCTCCCTCCTTCCTTCCTTCCTTCCTACTTTCCTTCCTTTCTTTCTTTCTTTCTTCCTTCCTTCCTTCCTTTTTTTCTTTCTGTCTTTCTATTTTAAGACAAGATTTCACTCCCTGTGTAGCCCAGGCTGGCCTTGAACTCAAGATCCTCCTGCCACAACTGCCTGAGTTCTGAGATGTCAGGTACATGCCACACCACCATCTCTAACTTTTTTTTCATTGTCTAGCTCATCCCCCTGCACCACGAACTTTCTGTTTCTTGCCATACATTAAAATCTATACCACTAGGTAAACCCCTCATCATCTTCCCTTGTCTCTGCTTCCCATGTATAACTTACTTTACCTATAACATTTCAGAGGACACTGAAATATCTATTTCATTTCCCTAGCTTGGGAAAATAAAGAGCAATAAAAGATGTGGGAGGGTACAAATCAAGAATAGTGGAAAAGGGGACAAATAATTTTGTAAGAAGATGAAAATGCCAATATGTCCACTTAGGAAAAAGCCATGGGTTATGCATATGATAAGAAAAAACAGCAGTTCAAATATTTTTTCTTTTTCTCATACTCTGTTTTGATTAGCATTTAGTCCACTTAAGATAAAAAACTCTGAAACGATGTTACCTCATAGAATAAAAATTAACTAATAATACCAACAATTTCCAAGTAAAGGAACTTAATGACATATTACAGTTTTCCAAAAACTTCCTAAGCTAGAAAGAAGTCAGCACACTAGGGTTTGATTCCCAGCCCTGTCACTAAATAATTATTTGACCTTAGGCCAATCATTTAACCTTGTTGTTTCCAAATCTCCTTGCCTATTAAGGTAAGGCACTTCCATACTTCCATTAAGGAGCAACTTCCTCTAAACTCAAGTTAAAAGTAACAATACAAATTCAGTTTAAAAAACAGACATATTGTTAAAACCAAGAAGTAACTAAGTGTCCAGTACATTCCAAAATCTATCTAAATGAAAAATGTTAATATTTAAATGATGAAATGTAACACATAAGTTGTTTTAAAATATTGTGGAGAAGTTAGAAATGAATGAATGATAGACATGCAAGTTCTTCACCAAAAAAGAAAATAATGGACAATTTCACCATGTTTTCTAGGCATCATAGGATGGTAATTGGTGAATTTATGCATTTCCAGAGTTAGGTCTTCAAATTTGTGAGCTCAAGGTCTGACTTTGTGAGCACATAGTAAGTGACCTCATCTCAGAGTTGTAATAACAAGCTCATGAGAGTTTACTATACAAACTGGAACAATTTATGGATTTATAGTGAAGAATGTAAAAGGCATAAAAACCAGAACTCTCAACTGGGTTCCCCTCTCAAGAGAAATGGGAAATCAAATTATGGTCAAAACATTGCTTGTTAAACATGGAATTAGAACAAGATGAACGAATTAAGTGATTTAGATGCTTAATGCTTTTAGTACCCTCATCTCCTCTTTCTCTCCCAAAGTCATGGCAGATGGGCAATGCCAAAGTTGGCTTCCTTGAATCTCCTTTTCCTTCATTTCCATTGTTGACGATCACACTCCCTCTGACTGACAGATTCTTGCCAAGGAGTTGTCAAATGTTCATAGTGAAGTTTTACTCTGCCCCCTACATTTTCAGTAACTCTTTCTGATCTAGAGTGTACTGGCTTTTCATATTAAACTCTAGAACCTGTATTGTCCTCATCTCCAGGTTCTGGGTGACAACTTCACCAGTGCACATAAGAACAGCTATATTCTGCTGAGTAGTATCAATCACCACCAGGATGTTACTGAGCATAATAAGCTCTTGGCCTTCTGTCAGAACTGGAGAAGATGTATAGGATAAAGCTTGATTCTCTGCCTACAGAGAGCTTATAAGGGAGTAAGGGACTGAGGCTTGAAACAAAGACCAAAGTGTAAAAAACAAAATTCACAACTCCAAAGCACAGAACAGAGTAAAATAGAGGCAATAAGAAAATGCTAAGTTTCTTATTGCACCAGAGGGGCAATGGCATCAAGAATGTAGAGGAGCTAGCACCTAGAATATACTGAACATAGAAGCATGTTGCATATGTAAGGGAACTGGCTAAAATTGTGGTTACTCAGCAAAGGCTGTCATAATTTAGTTCTCTTCCTCTCCAGCAAGTAATAGAGGTTGTCAAGCCTGCAGATCACCCCTTCCCTGCTCCTTTGGAAGAAGGAATCTCGCTTGATACTTATTCAGCATTCATAGAGCCACCACCAATGTCAGATACAGATCTGAATGTAAGTTTCCCTTGTCTTTCCATTCTCCCTGCTTCAACATTATAGAAGTGAGAGAAAACAAAATGTTCTTCCAGTTTGTTTGCCTCTAACTTTTCCAAACCCAATGCAAGTATTTCTTCCTGCATTAATTCAAAGAGGTGACAGTTGATGGTGTTCAGCAATTTTAATTTCTTCTACTCCATCCTCCCTAGTCTCCACCTTCAATTTCCCAAAGTAGACAATACCTTAGTACCATAATCCTATGAATAATAAAAATACAGTTTAATGTCAAATAAAAATCTCTCTCCATATTGACATTGCTCCTGGTAGAACAGTAGAAGGTTGAGATTGTAAGACAATCCCTGAATGCTCCATAAGTCACTTGAATGTTTCTCACTTTCAATGTTCTAGGGGTTGGATCAAGAGCAAGGCCCTGAGGAAACCCAGCTAGACACTGACACTTCAGACAAGGATCCTTTAGCTGGCTTCACTATTGAAGATGTAAAATCAGTGCTGGCTCAAGTCACAGATGATGTTTTAGTGAGCATTCAGGTACTCAGTATTGATAGTGTACTCACTTATTTTATTATTGGTTAATTACCCAACCTCAACCTTAGTGTCTATAAACACTAAGCTCTGCTTAACATCGCCACATAATTCTCAATTGATTCATCTGAGATTTATTAAGATCACAGAATAGATTGCCAACAGCATATAGTGAGGTAGATCAGGTTACAAAATCATTCAACATTAAAGCCCCAAAAAACAACATGGCAAAAACTTTGTGCTTTTGTTACACCATAAACATTGTTTATGCAAGAATAATTGGTGTACATTTCTAAACAGTAAATACTGAAGATCAAATCATAATTCTTAGTTGTCTTCTCACCAAAGCCACCACCTCAACAGTAGCTGCCAGTGATCTATCAGTGGGCTTAGCTTTATGCTTAATTCTTTCTCATTCTGTCCTAACAACAAACAAACAGCCATTTCTACTTCAACACAAATACAAGACATATAGGAACCCACATCATTTTTCAAGCCAAATGGTAAAGTAGTGAATTTTAGGGAATTTATAATTTCATAAAAATGACCATAAATCAGTAGAACACAGCACAGCACATATTTAAAATACTAATGCATCTCAGGGGAAGACATAGCCATTATCTGAACATGAGACCACACATAAAAAGCACACTGTATTAGCAACTAATTTAGAAAGTGCAAAAGATTAGCTCTGCATAAGCATACCTTGTTACTTGTTTAATCATCAAATGTTATTGCACTATTTACATGAACATTTTAATGATCTGGTGCCAACAGACTCAGCCAAAGTCCTCAGCTTAATAAGGGGTGTTTAGTGTTTACCAGAAAGAGTGGAAGAACACGTTTTACACAAAGCTTTATTGTTAACAACCCTGTGAACATAATAACTGGTTACTGTGTGGAAGGGCAGAGTGCAGTTGAATTAAGCTGAGTTCAGAACATATCTCCTTTTTAGATTTGATAACATTTCATCTAAATATAGTTTACATATAATCATGGCCGTGGGCTCCTTTGCAATTCTGTGGCCCTGAAATTATTGCCGAGGAACTACTAGACAGCAATAGAATTATTTGCAGGCCCCAAAAATTGAAAACATCTTTACCAAGGCCATGTTCCATGTAGCAAACAGTATGTGTTTAACTATTCACTGATTTTTTTTAAAAAAATTGGACTCTGCAGCATTTTTACCTCTATAACAGAAAGAATATGATGGTTGCATGTGTACACTGTCTACCCATTGGTCTGAAATCATCCTGGAAGTTTATTAGCATGCTCACCTAAACATAACTAGGTACAGAGAGAATGGAGCAGAAGAGAGACAGCAATGGTTCCTTTATGTGCTGCAATCATTCCCATATTAAGTAGATCTGTGGACTCCAGCCTGGGCTAAATTACTGTTAATTTTTCAATGAAATGGCAAGATTTATACAATATCTCAAGATAGAAACCCCCCCTTTATGTGTTTATTTTCAATAATCATAGTACACTCCATGTAATTGAGGAGGGCACTTCCCCTGATAAATTGAAAACTGAGACACAAAAAGATTAAGTCATTTGTCTAGAGTTTCCAGGGTCAACAACTGATGAAAGGCCCTGAATAGGATCTGTGAACTGGTTCCAGTTCTAACTCCAGTGTTACCCACAAAAGCCAGAGAAAGTCTAATATCATAACCAAGCTACTTTGGATTTTAATACACTTGTGGGGTGATCCTTTCTCAATGTCTACCTTGTGTTTTGATCAAATTCCAAGTTGGGTAATTACTCTCTACTGACCTAAATTTTTCCTCTATTTCAAGTAGGTAAGTTATTTTTCACTTCCAAATTTGACTTCCACTGATCCTGGCTCTAAAAATTGTCACCTGCCTATTCAACAAGAGCTGTATTCCAGTGGTCATTGTACATATGCCTTGTGAATAATCCTGTTGTATACACATTTAATGAATTATTACCCTCCAGGTGTTATAAATTCTCATGTAGATTTTTTTCTTTACTATTTAAAAGTCATACTGTTATTTTAATTTTTGTAGTAAAAAGCAAAAAGAATGCATATTTTTAGTACAATTTTTTCAGAGCTCCTCCTTTTGACATGGTGACAATAATGTATTGCTTTCTATAAAATGGAAATTTCTGAAAATGTGGTATGAATCCTCATTTTTATGTTAATCCACTTATTTTCCCATTTATTTATTAAGACTGAAGTTATCCTGGCCCTCAAATGTTAATTAAAATTATACTGAATACAGTAAATATTTAAGCCTATACAGTTTAGGCATTTTAATTTTAAAGAAACATTTTAAAAGAAATTATTTTGGCCCTGAGTTGCATAATAAAAATTACACCCAATGGAACAAACTTTAGTGTATTTAAGAATTATATTTCAGAGAAATATAAATTCTAACACTAAATTCTTGCATTAAATGTTGACTGTTGGCCCCATCTTAGCAATAGGGTAAAATAATACGAAAATCTCGAGGGAAGTTTGCCAACTTGGGATGCTAGGTGTCATTAGGTCAACTTTGAATTTTCCAGGTTATAAATGTTGAATGAGATCACCTCAAAGTCAATGAAAGACTACTGAATACAGGTCATGTGTTTTATATTCTTTCCTGAAGGAAACAGAACCAGAACCAGAACCAGTGGTTGGGAACAGCTCATTTGTTCAGCAGTTTTCAAGAATAAAAAGAGGCCATGGCAGACCAGTCACAGTCTATTCTTCACTGCACATACAGTCTTTTATCTAGGCCCTGCTGGTTGTGCCTGAGCTAAGTGCTGGTCACCAAGACCTGGAAAGCTGGAAGGTTCCTCTCTTGTCAGTACACCTGTCTATCAGGTGCATTTTACTTTCAAGAACCTTTTCCCCAAGACCCACATTTGTTTCAATAAATTCTGTCTCAGTGAACTAACAAAAAGGTGTACAGGTCAGTGGAAAACCCTGGTGAGGTGGTGAAACAGAAGCTGGTAGATTGTAGTCCATCAGTCTTTAGCTGAAAAGCATGAGATTGTGGGTGGGCATACAGGAATACTAATGAAAGGGAAAGATGGAATTGCTTCAATAGAGCAATTTTTCCCAATCTTTTGGAATTGTGACAAAATTATTTCTTCAAACCATGTCAAATCCTATATTGTCCAAAATATTATGCACCACAAGTGTATTTTAATTAAGCAGGAGTAACAATTTTTAAATATTTCATGCCAACATATCAATAAAATTGGTGAAGTATTATCATAAAATCAGGAGTTGGAATTATAAATTTAAAACTAGGATATAATGTTAACAAATCCTATTCTCTTAAATAATTTTGCAATAAGGACCAACAGCTGGTTAGGTGGTTGGCCAAATCTACATAACCAACATAGCACCCATGTTCCCACGCTAATAGACCAAAACTTCATCAACTCTACCAAAATCATGCATGAGGATGCTTGTGAATCCAGAAAAATAAGAAATCCTACATAACTTGGAGGACCATTTTTTTCCCTCCTTGCCTTTTCCATCCAACCTCCAAGGAAAGAAAAAAATAAGAAACCGGGAGTCAACTTGATTTCTGGACTTAAAAAGTACTTGAGCCAATAAAGATCAATGCTCACATGAATTCTGAATCCAGAATTGTTAACAACAATGTGATCTTGTTAAAAATATCATCTCTTGATGTGATGGCAAGACAAAAAACTCATCAGGTAAGGCAACCAGGGCACATATTTCAAATCTCTCCATTATAATTACACTCTTAAAAATAAATAGGTAAATAAATAAATAAGTGAATATTAAAGCTTACAGATGAGCCAAAAATGATATTTTTTAAAGTTTCTTCTATCCAAATCCAGTAATAAAAGTTTCTCAAAATATAGTAATAATGAAGACCTCAGTTATGTTATATATATATATATATATATAAATATTCTAAATTTTAAGTTTATTAACACACATGGGTATAAACTACTCTTCATATACTTATAGATGTTTTTAAATCACCAAAATAATAACAATAAAACACCAATTTTGTCATGTCAACCAATGCAGAATTCACTGTATGCAATTTTATTTTCCTTTGTGATAAAAGGAAGACATTTCCAGAGCTACTAACTTTCAGATAATGTGTAAGTATTTCTGGAATTGTGCAGGTAGCAATGTTAGTCCACAGAATACCACTGCCAGAGGCTAAATGCTATCACAGCTGCAACAATCACTAAAACCTGTCAGCAATTGCTTACTTTTTTCTACCAAAAATATACCACAACCTGGGCATTATTCCAAGAGTTATAAATGTATGATGAATACTCTTAATTATGAGAATTGTTCTAATTGTGAGATTATTTGTGTTGTTATTTCACAAAAGAAGCTTTCTGGGATTCCATTTAGAATGCATTACACAGAAGACAAAAACATCCATTGCAAAGGATGTGGGCGAGGTGGGGGGAAGAATCAACAACACTGCAATAACTAAGCCCAAAGCAGTTATTCTGATTCGGTGCTTATTGGTGAAGTCTGTCTGAAAATACAGATAAATTATCCTGTCTTCCAACACAAGGCTATTTGAAAAATGGCTGTCCAAATACCACTTCCTGTTCATAGTAGACATGCTATACATTGGGAATGTGCAGAGAAATATGATAAAGTGTTATCACATCACTACAGGCTGAAACACGGCTATGTCTGCAAAACAGGAAGGTGTGTGAGGGATAATGTCTGTCTTTAGGCACTATAGTATGTCAAAACCACAAAGACAATGTGCAGCAAAAGATAGCTCCATCATAACCACTTTTTTATGATTGTCTTCACAGACCGAGATAAACGAAAAGCTGCAAATACAGGAAGAGGCCTTTAATGCAAGAATAGAAAAATTGAAAAAGGCCTGAGGACTCTGTACAAGGAGAGAGTTCCTAAACTTCACAGAAACAAATAAAACCAGTCAGAATAATAGACTCTCTAGAGCATCGTATCTCCTTCGTTTAGTTGTGAAAGGAAAACCAACCCCCCACTTTTTATTATCCTAAGTAATTAGAAAAGTACTGGCCCCAATTTTGCCATCTCCTGTCCCATAACAGCCTCTGAATTTATCGTACCAAGTGTAATAAGAATATTTGTATACAAGAGTTTGGAGAGTCGTATGTAAAAATATAATTACATTTATGATATTCCTTTGACATCTTGACTGATAAATGCTATTCGTCTTCAGTAAGAATGGAGTCAGCCTTTTTAAACAACCAGAAAAAAAGAAAAAATAATTGTATCCATTATTGACCCAAACGAACTGTCACATTTCTGGAGCACTGAGAAAAGATACTAGTACCTTACTACCAAGGATAAAACTTGCTAAACCATGGAAATTCAAGTGCATATACTAGGTTTTTTTCTTACTTAACTCATTTGGTTTTCTTATTTAAATGTTTCAGTGTGAAACCAATTTTCTGAAATTATATAATGTAGTTTGAAGCATTTTAATTTATTCTACTCTGTATTTGTTATTTCTAATCTTGTTACCATCCCAGGAGAATACATGACCTATATAAAAAGAAGCAATGTATAATGCGTATTAAACACCAACCTATATATAGATTGTAAAAATCTTAAATACAAATCAAACTCACACAGCTCCTAAAGTTAACCATTATATTGCAGTAGAGTGATTGAAAAATATCTCAAGTCTTTAAATACCCTTATGAAAATATAATTTCAAAACAAAAATAGCTACATGTTACTGATTGTCCCTAGTTAGAAAAATTAATTAATTACTCATAGACTTAAGAGGATTATAGAGTGGGGAGACAGCATTTCTAGGAGGGGTTGGTTTCCTCAAGAACTTTTGAGGTTGGAGTTGGGCATGGTGGTGCACTCCAGCTACTCAGAAGACCCTATCAAAAACAACCAAAAGCACAAAGGACTGGGAGCCTGGCTCAAAGTGGTAGAGCATTTGCCTAGCACATGCAAGGCAAGGCCAAGTTCAATACCTAGCACAACCAAAAAATAGTTCTCAAGACTGCACAGTACATGCATCTGACTGGCACGTGATTAAATATGAGCCCTTAACATTTTGATTGACATCAAAGAAACTGCCTGACACATGTTCATCTGGGACAGAGACAGAGATGACAGCTTTTGGTAATTTTCTAACTACACTAATCAGCAAAGCGAGAATAGTGCTTAATACAAATTCGTATTTATTGTTCATGCAGCTCCAAGGCTGGAGGCCTGGAGTTGTTTCTTTCCTGAGCTCTCCTTTTTGAATAAAAACATAACTGGCCTTAGAAGAGGGTTTGAAGGGTTTCTACTCTGAATTCCCTCTGCAGTCTTTTCTCCAGGGAAAATAGTAAAACTGGTGTAAGCAAAAACAGGTTATAATGAAGCTTCTAGAAATCACCAAGCATAGCTTCAAATGCAATCAGTGACATAGAATAGACCTGCACTTCTAACAAAGAGTGTTTACTTGAGCAAGGATACCAAAAGTCTGAAACCAAATCAAAAACAGCACTAGAATCTCTAACCTACATCAGGACAATGTACTATAAACAGACATAAACATGAGATGCTTTGGGTCTGATACTGGCTTTGCCATTGGCTAGTGTAGGATTCTAGACAGGCTACTCAGCCTCTATTTGCTCATCTGTCAGGTGGAGGTAATACTTATTTTTGTGTTGGATTTTGTTTGTTGGTTGGTTGGTTGCTTGCTTTGCTTGCTTGCTTGGCAGTTTTGTCTTTGGGGGATTTTTGTTTTTGTTTTGTTTTAATTTGTTTTTTATGTTAGGGATGGAACCAAGGGCCTTGTACATACTAGGGAAAGCACTCCTACCACTGAGCTACATCCCTACAAATTAGTGGGTTTTGGTTTTGGTTTTGTTTTTCGACAGCACTTACTTTTTAAATAATTATGAGGACTCAATAATTTCATGTTAAAGTGTTTTTGTCATAAGGTTTACTTTCTGTTTACCTCTTAGGACATCAAAACCCCCACTTCCCATTTCTAATACCTGTTGCCCTGTTGTTGGATCAGTCTGTCTGCGAGAATTCCCAGCCTCCTGTCTCTCTCCTTGCACCCATGGATGGGCATGTCCTCCTACTGTTTTAAGGTCATCCTCCAGTGACAACTCTGCCCTGCTGCTGTACTACATCTTTCATGTTGGAGCAACCAGGGATATCTGTGGCAGCCCAAAAATAAGATCTAATAATATTACAAGAAAGAGAAAGCATAGTAGTCATGGCAAGCATTTTTTAATTTGTGTTCTCCATGTTTTTAAATTAATATTGCATTTTAAAAGAAATATAAATATTTGTAAAATAAAAATTTAAACACCACAATGTACACAAAAGAGATAATGAAAAATAACTCTCTCCCTAGAGACTCCCATTCCTTCCCCAGAGACAACAATAGCTTCCATTAAATCCTTAGAAAAGTATTTTTTGTCCCCTCAGAAAATTGAATGCTTGTATGAGAGGTTTCTTAACAAAATCTGCATTGCTTTTTATATTGTTTATTTCAAATAATATATCTGGGAGGTAATTCCATGTCTCAGTACATTTTAGTCACCTGATAATATTTCATTTTATCAATTTCATCCATTTTAAAATTGGCCCTATTTATCAATCCCTTCACTGTTTAAATTGGAACATTTTTATTATGTGCAATAGTTTGTTATCACAATGGTACATTGTCATCCTTCTGTATACATCTTTATAAGTTTATATGATTATGCCTTTAGATGAACTTCTCAGAGGAGGACTTTCTAGGTCAAACTGCATGTGCATTTTGATTTTTGATAGATGTAGTAAAAGATATCTCACCATTTTCCATACCCATCAATAGTATGTGTGAGTGCCTCTTTCTCTACTTTCTTTCATTATCCAAGTTTTTATCTTTGTCATTCTAAGAAATAGAAAATACATTCATATTATTGTTTGAATTTGTTTTTACCTTACTTAAATAAAAGAAGTACTTTTTCATATAGTCATAAGCAAATATATAGTTCACTATATATACACAAAGATATACATCCATTTAATGTACCTACTATTCATGAGAAATAGATTTTATTAGCTTCATTTTATAGTGATGTAGCCTAAAGCTTAGCAAGATTATTAACTTAAATGAAATTACACAATTAATAATTGGTGAATCAGGTCTTCCAAGCCCGGTCTGTCCTGTTTTACAGATGATGAGGTTGGAATACACACAAATTTTAAGTAATGTTCCCATGATCATGTAGCTGGGAAGTGGCAAAATCAGGCTTTGAACCTAGGTCTGTATGATTATGAAACCTATGCACTTAACCTTTATTTTCATCTGTCCATCTTATAGTTAACATGAAATAAACTTAAAGTGGTATTTTTTCCTTCTTAGTTATAATAAGGGAACAAACTTGCTTATGTCATTAACATATTGAATATTTAGGAAATTTATATAAGGACAGAATGTATAACCCAGTTCCAGTCACTCATTTTTATATTATATATTCATTGAAAACCTCCTATATTTCTGGGCAGTTAGTGGTAAGCCAAAGAGACATAGTTCCTGCTCTACTAATCTATCACAGTTAATACTATAACAAAGACAAGCTTCAAGAAATTATAAGTACAGAAAAAAAGAGATTGATTTAGTCTGCAAAGTCAGGGAAGACTCCTACACATACTGACATTTGGGCTGGGATCTGAGCAATAGGTGGAATTTAACCAGACAGAGGACAGTAAAGGAAGATGCACTTGGGGCAGAGAGCAGCATATGCCAAAGTCCCAGGACACAGTTAAGGTTTGTGTCAGAGCTCTCTCACAGGGTCAGAGACTACATTACAGATTTTTATTTTTAATCTAAAAATGGGAAATTGTTGACAAGTTTTAAATAGTAAGTGACATCAGATTTATGTTTCTAAAAAGATCATCCCTATGGTACCAGAACTTCTATCCATGGAAATCTGGGACATGGAATATTCTCATGAAAAGACTCCTACTGCTAATGAGGCCATAGTGCCACTTTTTATCAATTTCTAGGAGTGGGAGAAATAAGGAAAATTTGACTTTCCTAAAATCACAGGGTCTTCTTACTTGAAGCAGGCTTTGGCCCAAGGCATCCCACTGAAGAGCCAATTAAAAAATAATACCCAGCCTTTTTATTTATCATCCATAGGAAGATATGTTTCTTCCATCTGCAGGAATAATTCAGGGAGCTTCCCTCCTAGCCCCCATGATGTTTCAAAGTGCAAATATATTCATTATGTTATGAGCAGGCCACAGACTGCCACTATTTCAGGTATTTGCAGGCACTATTGCACCTAACTATAACTGTTGGAGTCATTTTTCCAAAATCCGAATATAAAACCCTATTTCTATCCTCCATTTGATTGGAACCATTCAACCATCCTGGTAGATAATAAGTTTGCATGTTCTTAGATTGCATTTCATTATGCTTCAGTTCTCCTAGAGAATAAATGTGCTCCTTTCCCCAAAAATTGCAAAGAAGAAATTCTTCTGACATCTCAAATTTCAGAGTCTCAGAAAAATGTCTCCCTTTTGGACATCAGTCATTTTTTTCCTGGACATTAATTTGTTAAATAAAAGTCAGGATTCCTTCATGGCAGCCAAAATATGGATTAATTTAAGTTTCTTAAGCAAAATGAGTCAAGATCAGTAATCCCATCTTGTTGGAATTCACAAATGCCAAAACAGAGAATGCTAAAAATCTGCTTTGCTTTTATGATCCCTTCCCTTTTGGTGGAAGTAACAGCAATTGAGATCAGTGTATCATATTTTGTCAGTTGCTAAAGACATTTTGGTTATTTAATTTAATTTAACTTCAGAGACTGTTCAATGAATATGTCTCCAATGGTCATTTTGGTGTCTGTTTCTTCTTTTTAATCTAGCCTATGATTTACTCAGGGCACTTTCTAGGTATTGGGATAAAATAGGTCAAATTACTTGGCTTCATGAAGTAAATGAAGTTTACAGTCTAGAGGCAGTTGAAAACAAGTGAATAAATAGGGTGACTTTCTATAATGATAAACAATATAAATGAATAACACAAAGTCATAGGGCAGAGCTACTTTACCTAGGATGCCCTGAGAACTGCTTAGGAGGGACTTTTGGACTGAGACTTTTGAGCCAGCCAGAGGCTGTGCAAAGGAGCATTTACTCCAGGAAGTAAGGACTACAAATAAAGTGACATTTATGTTGTACTGGCAAGTAGAACCTCT